GTCGGTCCTCAGTCGGTCCGCAGTCGGTCCGCAGTCGGTCCTCAGTCGGTCCTCAGACGGTCCTCAGTCGGTCCTCAGTCAGTCCTCAGTCGGTTCGCAGTCGGTCCGCAGTCGGTCCTCAGTCGGTCCTCAGGCGGTCCTCAGTCGGTCCGCAGTCGGTCCTCAGTCAGTCCTCAGTCGGTCCTCAGTCAGTCCGAAGTCGGTCCTCAGTCGGTCCTCAGTCGGTTCGCAGTCGGTCCGCAGTCGGTCCGCAGTCGGTCCTCAGTCGGTCCTCAGTCGGTCCTCAGGCGGTCCTCAGGCGGTCCTCAGGCGGTCCTCAGGACCGCAGTCGGTCCGCAGTCGGTCCTCAGTCGGTCCTAAGTCGGTCCTCAGTCGGTCCTCAGGCGGTCCTCAGGACCGCAGTCGGTCCGCAGTCGGTCCGCAGTCGGTCCTCAGTCGGTCCGCAGTCGGTCCTCAGTCGGTCCGCAGTCGGTCCTCAGTCGGTCCTCAGTCGGTCCTCAGTCGGTCCTCAGTCGGTCCGAAGTCGGTCCTCAGTCGGTCCGCAGTCGGTCCGAAGTCGGTCCGAAGTCGGTCTGAAGTCGGTCCGAAGTCGGTCCTCAGTCGGTTCGCAGTCGGTCCGCAGTCGGTCCGCAGTCGGTCCGCAGTCGGTCCTCAGTCGGTCCTCAGGCGGTCCTCAGTCGGTCCTCGGTCGGTCCGCAGTCGGTCCGCAGTCGGTCCGCAGTCGGTCCTCAGTCGGTCCTCAGTCGGTCCGCAGTCGTCGGTCCTCAGTCGGTCCTCAGTCAGTCCGAAGTCGGTCCTCAGTCGGTCCTCAGTCGGTTCGCAGTCGGTCCGCAGTCGGTCCGCAGTCGGTCCTCAGTCGGTCCTCAGTCGGTCCTCAGGCGGTCCTCAGGCGGTCCTCAGGCGGTCCTCAGGACCGCAGTCGGTCCGCAGTCGGTCCTCAGTCGGTCCTAAGTCGGTCCTCAGTCGGTCCTCAGGCGGTCCTCAGGACCGCAGTCGGTCCGCAGTCGGTCCTCAGTCGGTCCGCAGTCGGTCCTCAGTCGGTCCGCAGTCGGTCCTCAGTCGGTCCTCAGTCGGTCCTCAGTCGGTCCGAAGTCGGTCCGAAGTCGGTCCTCAGTCGGTCCGCAGTCGGTCCGAAGTCGGTCCGAAGTCGGTCTGAAGTCGGTCCGAAGTCGGTCTGAAGTCGGTCCGAAGTCGGTCCTCAGTCGGTTCGCAGTCGGTCCGCAGTCGGTCCGCAGTCGGTCCGCAGTCGGTCCTCAGTCGGTCCTCAGCGGTCCTCAGTCGGTCCTCAGTCGGTCCGCAGTCGGTCCTCAGTCAGTCCTCAGTCGGTCCTCAGTCGGTCGGTCGGTCCTCAGTCGGTCCTCAGTCGGTCCTCAGTCAGTCCGAAGTCGGTCCGCAGTCGGTCCTCAGTCGGTCCGCAGTCGGTCCTCAGTCGGTCCTCAGTCGGTCCTCAGTCGGTTCGAAGTCGGTCCTCAGTCGGTCCGCAGTCGGTCCTCAGTCGGTCCGCAGTCGGTCCTCAGTCGGTCCGCAGTCGGTCCTCAGTCGGTCCTCAGTCGGTCCTCAGTCGGTCCTCAGTCGGTCCGCAGTCGGTCCGCAGTCGGTCCTCAGTCGGTCCTCAGTCGGTCCGCAGTCGGTCCTCAGTCGGTCCTCAGTCAGTCCGAAGTCGGTCCGCAGTCGGTCCTCAGTCGGTCCGCAGTCGGTCCTCAGTCGGTCCTCAGTCGGTCCTCAGTCGGTTCGAAGTCGGTCCTCAGTCGGTCCGCAGTCGGTCCTCAGTCGGTCCGCAGTCGGTCCTCAGTCGGTCCGCAGTCGGTCCTCAGTCGGTCCTCAGTCGGTCCTCAGTCGGTCCTCAGTCGGTCCGCAGTCGGTCCGAAGTCGGTCCGAAGTCGGTCCTCAGTCGGTCCGAAGTCGGTCCTCAGTCGGTTCGCAGTCGGTCCGCAGTCGGTCCGCAGTCGGTCCTCAGTCGGTCCTCAGTCGGTCCTCAGTCGGTCCTCAGTCGGTTCGAAGTCGGTCCTCAGTCGGTCCGCAGTCGGTCCTCAGTCGGTCCTCAGTCGTCCGAAGTCGGTCCGAAGTCGGTCCTCAGTCGGTCCGCAGTCGGTCCTCAGTCGGTCCTCAGTCGGTCCTCAGTCGGTCCGAAGTCGGTCCGCAGTCGGTCCTCAGTCGGTCCGCAGTCGGTCCTCAGTCGGTCCTCAGTCGGTCCTCAGTCGGTTCGAAGTCGGTCCTCAGTCGGTCCGCAGTCGGTCCTCAGTCGGTCCGCAGTCGGTCCTCAGTCGGTCCTCAGTCGGTCCTCAGTTGGTCCGAAGTCGGTCCTCAGTCGGTCCTCAGTCGGTCCGCAGTCGGTCCGAAGTCGGTCCGAAGTCGGTCCTCAGTCGGTCCTCAGTCGGTCCTCAGTCGGTTCGCAGTCGGTCCGCAGTCGGTCCGCAGTCGGTCCGCAGTCGGTCCTCAGTCAGTCCTCAGTCGGTCCTCAGTCAGTCCGAAGTCGGTCCGCAGTCGGTCCTCAGTCAGTCCTCAGTCGGTCCTCAGTCGGTCCGCAGTCGGTCCTCAGTCGGTCCTCAGTCAGTCCGAAGTCGGTCCGCAGTCGGTCCTCAGTCGGTCCGCAGTCGGTCCTCAGTCGGTCCTCAGTCAGTCCGAAGTCGGTCCGCAGTCGGTCCTCAGTCGGTCCGCAGTCGGTCCTCAGTCGGTCCTCAGTCGGTCCTCAGTCGGTTCGAAGTCGGTCCTCAGTCGGTCCGCAGTCGGTCCTCAGTCGGTCCGCAGTCGGTCCTCAGTCGGTCCGCAGTCGGTCCTCAGTCGGTCCTCAGTCGGTCCTCAGTCGGTCCTCAGTCGGTCCGCAGTCGGTCCGAAGTCGGTCCGAAGTCGGTCCTCAGTCGGTCCGAAGTCGGTCCTCAGTCGGTTCGCAGTCGGTCCGCAGTCGGTCCAGCAGTCGGTCCTCAGTCGGTCCTCAGTCGGTCCTCAGTCGGTCCTCAGTCGGTTCGAAGTCGGTCCTCAGTCGGTCCGCAGTCGGTCCTCAGTCGGTCCGCAGTCGGTCCTCAGTCGGTCCTCAGTCGGTCCTCAGTCGGTCCGAAGTCGGTCCTCAGTCGGTCCGCAGTCGGTCCTCAGTCGGTCCTCAGTCGGTCCTCAGTCGGTCCGAAGTCGGTCCGCAGTCGGTCCTCAGTCGGTCCGCAGTCGGTCCTCAGTCGGTCCTCAGTCGGTCCTCAGTCGGTTCGAAGTCGGTCCTCAGTCGGTCCGCAGTCGGTCCTCAGTCGGTCCGCAGTCGGTCCTCAGTCGGTCCTCAGTCGGTCCTCAGTTGGTCCGAAGTCGGTCCTCAGTCGGTCCTCAGTCGGTCCGCAGTCGGTCCGAAGTCGGTCCGAAGTCGGTCCTCAGTCGGTCCTCAGTCGGTCCTCAGTCGGTTCGCAGTCGGTCCGCAGTCGGTCCGCAGTCGGTCCGCAGTCGGTCCTCAGTCAGTCCTCAGTCGGTCCTCAGTCAGTCCGAAGTCGGTCCGCAGTCGGTCCTCAGTCAGTCCTCAGTCGGTCCTCAGTCGGTCCGCAGTCGGTCCTCAGTCGGTCCTCAGTCGGTCCTCAGTCAGTCCGAAGTCGGTCCGCAGTCGGTCCTCAGTCGGTCCGCAGTCGGTCCTCAGTCGGTCCTCAGTCGGTCCTCAGTCGGTTCGAAGTCGGTCCTCAGTCAGTCCGAAGTCGGTCCTCAGCGCTCGTGGTAATGACAGGCAGCAGAAACTCCAGATATGCAAAACACTGCAGCATATCAGGATGCAGTTGGACACACAGCTGTCCTGATGCTTCTGTCACATAGGCCAAAACTGTCAGGTCAAAGGTCATTGAAACCAAAAAATGCAATGTAATAAAAATTCACTGCAATAGTTGAATTGAACGGATAGTCAGATATTTATTTGTGGACTATTGCAGAGCCAAAACTGCAGGTTTCTCTATTAAAATATATCTGCAGATTTTTATGAAAGAAATGGAAAAAGCGTCTGCCAGTTTGGAAAACCAGAATGGAGGTAACCACATGCTGGGAGGAGGGGGGGGGGCAACAGCTGCTGGTTCTGCTGACTGGACTCCATTGCTTTAACTTCACTAATGAATTATAATTACATATTTTAGTTAAAAGCTGATTGTTTGAGCCACTGAAAGATTATATCCAGCTAATGTTAGCATCCACAGACCAGATTTCTAAAGAAGCTTCATGAATGATCAGAGAAACTCTGGAAAGACAAATAGATAGATAAACACTGAACAGATTACAACCTAACGGTGAATAACATTTAATTTTAGCAGCATAAAGGTTTTTAAATTATAAATGTACCTGATTTTGTCAATTGAAATGTGAGTAATTAATTACAGAGCCTGAGATCAACTTCTTAAGTCCTGTTTAGGTTAACCCTCTGCTAACATGTTCTGCCTGATTCTCTGCAGTGGATCTCAGAACCAGAACAGATGACCAACTGTCAAGATATAAGGCTTTCTTATCAGTCAATATTGATCATTATGGACTGCCGTATTTTCCTGACTATAGAGCGCACCTTACTATTGGCTGCATCTACAAAGTTTTTTTTTAAAAACTGGAAGCGCACATATAAAAGCCGCACCAGGCTAAAGCTGCAGGTTCAAAGCAGGAGAAAAAAGAAAGGTCCGAAAAATACGGCTGTTGTTTTTTATAAACTCGAGGCGTGACCTTTTCTGTTTTATCCAGTTTTCTCTCCACACCGTAATTTTTTATTTTATACAGTTTTGTGGTGATGAAACCGATTACTCAATGTGTTGTTGCTAGGCAACCAGAGAGCGAGTTGGTTGATGCTGCCCAGCTAGCTTAGCTCGCTAAGAGAGGTTGAGCGGCTAAAGCCTTTCCTCTGCCTTCATCTCCCAGAATGCTGTGCAGTGAAGTCATTGAATATTCCATCGGGCAAAATAAAACAATCGATCTGACCAGAACTGGATGACTGGTTCTGGTCCAGAACCAGAGATCTGATCCTGATATCTGAGCCTCTCTGATTTCCTTCCTCTTCTGCTCCTCAGATCCACGATGCAGAGAAGAAGATGAGTCCTCCAGACGATCTGGGACAACTTCCTGTCTTTGCTGCTGTCCCTCCCACCTGGACCTCACCCCCCCTTAGCGCCTCCCTTTGCCCGGTCCCCAGTAGGGGGCGGTAAGGTGATGTCTGGATGGCAGTCCCAGGGGCGCCTCCTGCTGCTGAACTCGCTGACCTGCGGCCTGGAGATCTGCGTGGCGGCTGGAATCACCTACGTCCCCCCTCTGCTGCTAGAGGCGGGGGTGGAGGAGCGCTACATGACCATGGTGCTGGGTGAGACTCACAGATCGACCTCTGACCTCTCCGTTACACAGCTGCAATAAAAACACCAACAAGATTTATCAGCATGAATAAATCTGCTTAAACATGCGGTCCTTCGGGCCGCTGGCCGTCCTGCAGGTCTTAGATGAGCCGCAGGTCCAAACCACTGGACTGAAACGGCTTCATGACCTCCAGGGTGGGTCGGTTCTCCAGAACCTTAATGAGCTCATTATTCTGCTCAGGTGGTGCAGCAGAGGCTCATCTACAGCTGCAGGCCAGCCAGCGGCCTTCAGGACTTCAACACCCTGATTTGACTAAAGCAACACCTTTATGTAGTAATTAGGACTTTAAATCCAAAGTCTGTGAATTTATTAATAATAAGTAATTGATGAGCAGAAAGTACATTTTGCACCTTCAGGAGCATTTCTGTTTTAGAAATCAACATCATAATAACACAAACTGTTTACAAACAGAAGTTTTATGTTCCCATTTAATATCAGTGTTTTCCTGATGAACCAATCAGGGCTCATCAGTCTTTTGGGCTCTGATTGGTCAAAAAGGACTGAGATTGAATTTTAAATACTTATTTTGAATCATTATTTGTTTGTCTAGAAAGGGACACAAAACCTGATTCTGCTGTTTTTATTCAGCAGCTGTTGCTTCAGAAACATGATGATGATGATGATGATGATGATGGTGGTGATGATGGTGATGATGATGATGAGGGTGATCAATTAAATCTGAGCGTCTCGGTGCTGATGCTGAATCTGTTAGGTGCTGACTGCTGTCATGGTAACGCAGTCTGTGAGGTGATGGTCTATGCCCATATTAGGGCGGTGGGCGGGGCTTCAGCCAGGTCTGTCTGCTGCGCTCAGAGTAGCAGGAAGATGCTGCACCGATTGATGCGCTCTGATCCTCACCGCTGGCTGATTGGCTGATACTTTGATGTGTCGGCCATCTTATTGCGTTCAGACACTTTCTTTTTGTACAAAGAAACTTGAAACTCGGGACATTTATTGGTGGTTGAAGTTGTTGTGTTTGTTCTCCACTGTGATTTTTATAAAGCTCTTTATTGTGGTGAGAGGCTCCAGGTGGTGAGGTCGTACAGACTCTTCATCGCTTGCTTTTGTTGTTTACTTTCTCACTCTGGGACACAAGCTTCAATAGAAACCATTCGCATCATAGAGTTTATGGAGGTGTTGTCCAAAGTGCGGCTCGGGGGCCATTTGTGGGCTTTGAAATGATTTTGTGTGGCCCCTGTCAGCAGTTCAGGAATGGAGCCAATGCAGATGAAGACTTCCTGTAGCTTTTACAGGATGAGACTTTTTACACAGACCGCAGATAAATAAATGTAACATTTGTTTGAGATTATCAAAGCTGCTGAATTTAATTTACTTTACCAGTAAATTGTTTTTAGGTTGGCCAGTTAATCTACGTTAATCTCCCAGATTAAATCTAACAGAAGCTGTTAGAGGTTCTGATGTTCTAGCAGCAAGAGGGGCCCCTGAGTCAGGTTCTGCCCCGGGCCTCATGCAGCCTTGGACCGGCCCTGCAGGATGAGTTCAACCTGCTGCACTGCAGAGAGGAGCAACAGACAGATTTAATTCAATGCTGCTAATGTGGCTTTAGCAGCTCTAACGTTTGTGTGTGTTGAGTTTTTAACCAGGGGACAGAAACTGTTCTGGTTGCTCCAGTTTATGGGGCGACATTTTCAGATCTCCGCGCTCATTAACTCTAAGTGGACAAAACATTTGATATGGTTTGATGCTTCGTGTAAACAGAAAAATAATGATAAAATAATATAAAAGCAGCGTGACGCGTGAATACGAGCGAAAGCTCCTCACCGGCTGAACCTGCATGATGAGGTCAGCGCTGTTCGCTAACCGCTAACTCTCCGACCAACCGGGAACACACACATGAAGTTTACAGGGCAGACAGCGCCACCTGCTGGGCAGCGAGTTGAGATGGAAACGACCCACATAACTTGTTCACAAATATAAATCATTGTCAGCGCTCCTCTGAAAGAAAGACTCCAGGTTCTTCCTGCGGTTCATAGAGCTGCACAACCAGAGCTAACGCAGCGGGTTCAAACGCTGACCTGGATGTGGAGTTCTCCAAAGAAACATGAACATGTGAACATCCATACAGGTCAGCCTGTGTCCAGTTGGAGTGAAAGGAGGCGCGCCGTCTGCGCCGAGGTGAACTTAAGGAACAAAGCGGCGCGAGGCCCAGCGCTGTGATTGGTTCGGCTTGAAATGCATCAGCTTCTCTTTTAGGAATAAATCCACTCGGCCAGTGAAACGCTCAGAGCAGCAGAGATGCTTTCAATCCGGATTTTTAAAAAAGAAAAACAAATTGTGCTTTTTAAAATGATTGTTATTATTTTACTAAAAACATAAATAGGGAGTTAAAGCATGGTGGGCTGCCAAGCTTTTATTGCACTGGGAGAAACCCTGATTACTGTTATCCTGTAATCTGGACCTGGAGAAGCAGCTCATCCTCCAGCTGCTTCTCCAGACATCTCCAACCTTAACCCAAACCTCCAGGGTTTTTTCTAGAACATTTCTGAAATTAATATAAAAATTTCTGTGGTTTTTGGAAAAAATTGACTCAATTGTTTTGTTTTGTTTTTTGTCATGTACTGCAGCTCTAATACTGAGCAGTAGGAGACAGGATAACCAGGAGGATTTACTGTTCCTTTCTATCCCCCTAGTGGAGGCTGGAGGGATACCAGGCAATCCCAGAACAGGTTTTGATTGTAACGTTAGCAGGGGCGTTGGAGGGCCGGCGTCCTGCAACGTTCACATGAGTCTCTGCTGCACCTGAATAGAATAATTAGGTCATTAAGGCTCTGAAGATCTTATGTACCCAAGGAGGAGGTCATTAATCCATTTCATTCCACTGTTTTGTACCTGTGGCTCACACTTTGAGGACTGGAGTTTGATACCTGTGGTAAAGCAAAATCAGCCAGAACCCAAAACAGCCAAAACTAGAGTATGGCTCGCTGAAACATTTTATTACAAAAATGATGGCATAGAAGGGGCTCCACAGGGTGTGGTCACACTGGTAGGTGAGGAATCCAGCCTGGGGAGGGTTGGGTGAATGGACAGTGGAAGGCCTTGGGGGGTCAAGGGACAAAGAGACGACAGCTACAAAATCCACCGACCAGAGGGACAGTCATTGAAACGATCCGGGGTCATGCACCGGAGGGTCGAAGGCGGTAATCAGAGGACTGGCAGGATCAGCAACAGGAGGTCAGAATCCTTCCTACAGCAGGAGGACTAGGCAAAAATCTGTGGTCAAAAACAGGCAGGATCAGAAAACTCTTTGGAACATGAGAGGCTAGAAAGCTGAGAGTGGGGCGACAGACGATCTGCCTCTGAGCTGACTACATATGGAGCAGCACAGTGCAGGTCAGGGGAATGAGTAATCAGCACAGTCAAGGTGGAGCAGAAGGGCTGAAATCATGACACTGATTGCTGATTTCAACTCTTGTTTGGTGGTTTCTAACTAGCCAGATTCAGGCACACATGGAGAAGAAGCAGCTGGCGTGAGGCTGGTGTCGTTCTGTGGCAGCAGCCGACCTGACGGAGGAACTGGAGGCGCCTGAATGAATCCTCTCCTTCCAGATGTTGTGCAGGGAGAGCAGAACATCTCAGTGAGCTGGTTCCTGCATGCTGGCGTTCTGAAGAGCTGCTGTTGTTTTACACTTGTGTACATCTAGTACCGTATTTTCCGGACTATCAGTCGTATTTTTGGGGAAAATTTATTTGATTAAATCCAACACCAAGAACAGACATGTCATCTTGAAAGGCAATAAAATAAAAATAGAATAGAGGCAACAACAGGCCGAATAATTGTACGGTATGCTAACGTTACATGACAAACATGCCTGGTAAGTTAACATATTAAAAGTTATTCAGATAATTATAGCATAAATAACACGTTTACCAAACCATCTGTGTCTCTCCAGCTTCAGTGTTGCTTGTAAACAACTCTGCTAACTCTGGAGGTAGAATAACAGGCCTAGAGCGCCCTCTTGTGGTTTAGTGAGAAAATAACATGTGATAGGATATAATAATGTGTTCATAATTTAACACATAAGTCGCTCCAGAGTATAAGTTGCACCACTGGCCGAACAATGGCCAATGCCAGCCTTTTATTGCACTGGGAGAAACCCTGATTACTGATATTCTGTAATCTGGACCTGGAGAAGCAGCTCATTACCATAAACTTATAGTCCAGAAAATATGGTAATTGGTTTTATTCTGTAACCGGGTTGCTGTGTATTGCAGACTTCTGCACAGTCCCTCTTGAAAATGAGATCCAGATGTCAACCGGGTTTACCTGGTTAAATGTAGGAAACTGGAAAAAAAAGCTGAGCAGATGGAGGTTGAGAAAAGGCAGGAACATTATGGAAAATGTGAACCATGATACTTTTGAATCATAGGCGTCATTTTGATGTTGGACGTTTACTGTGAAATTCAGGACGCCTTTTCTACATCTGCCATGTCAAAGGTTCACCAGCTACATAAATCAGAAAGTAGGCCGAGGCGTCACTTTCACTTTGAGTTTCCTCATTTCTAATCCTGCTCAGCTGTGAGGTTTGCTGCTGGTTTGTGCGGACAGGTCGTTCTCTGCTGGTGTTAAAATGCTTCACATTTCTTCTTCCCTGCAGGTCGTATGTAAGAACATTGTGACTAATGGGCAGTGGATGGTTTTGGGAACAGTTCTGCTCAGAGCCGATGGTTTTAGCAGGTCTACAGTAGAGGGAGACAGTCCCTGTGATGCTTGTGGTTCCCGTGTTGTGTCTGCAGGTATCGGCCCGGTTCTGGGGCTGCTCTTCATCCCTCTGATCGGCTCGGCCAGCGATCAGTGCGACAGCAGCTACGGCCGCCGCCGGCCCTTCATCTGGCTGCTGTCGCTGGGCGTCCTGCTGGCGCTCTTCATCATCCCCAACGCCGACCTGCTGGCGGCCCGTCTGCCCTGGCGGAGCAGACCCTGCAGGTGGGCGGGACTCCCTCAGCCCTGGAGCATGCTGGGAAACCGAGCTCTAACGCTGCTGCCTTTCTCCAGGTGGGCTTCCTCATCCTGGGCGTGGGCCTGCTGGACTTCTGCGGCCAGGTGTGCTTCACGCCGCTGGAGGCGCTGCTGTCGGACCTGTACCGGGACGAGGAAGAATGCGGCCGCGCCTTCGCCATGTTCTCCTTCATGGTCAGCGTGGGCGGCTGCGTGGGCTACCTGCTGCCCGCCGTGGACTGGAGCCGCAGCCCGCTGGCCGTCTACCTGGGCGGCCAGGCCGAGTGCCTCTTCTCCCTCCTCATCCTCATCTTCGTCAGCAGCGTCATCGTCACCATGAAGGTGTCTGAGGAGCCGTCCTGTCGGGGCCCGGCCCGGTCCGGCCCGCGGCCGGAGCCCGGCGGCGGCGGCGCCAGGGAGGCGGGGCGCTGCGGACTCCCTCGCTCCTGCTTCTCCCTGCTCAGGTGCAAGCTGCGGCTGCTGGGGGCGGGGCCTCTGCTCTGCCTGCTGCGCTCCTGCCGCACCACCATACCCGCCATCTTCTGGAGCTACTGCCGCGTGCCGCGCGTCATCAGACAGCTGTGCGCGGCGCAGCTCTGCAGCTGGATGGCCGTCATGTCCTTCATGCTGTTCTACACAGACTTCGTGGGGGAGGGGCTTTACGGCGGCGTCCCCAGCGCGGCGCCGGGGAGCGTGGCACGGCGGCGGTACGATGAAGGTCAGACTCTCTCCTCATTCTCTGATTGGTTAATGGCTCAGCTGTGAGCCTGCTCTGTTAGCTGGCATAGCATCCATCAGTTAGCATCAGCTGATCAGATCCACATCTGGTCTCCTGATGTCGTCGTTTAGAAAGAACAGACAGAATGATGCATCCCTTCTAAATAATCCCAAAGCAATAAAGTTCATATCAATAACAGACGTGGGATTATTGACATGTTTAACACACTTCATTTCAGGGTAGAGAATTAATTTATCCACATTTGAACCTAAAACCAACCAAGGTCAGTAGCCGTGATATTCATGGTTTTTCATCTGTTATTTATATCCTGGGTTTTTCCCATGACGGCCATGTTGGAACGACTTCCTGAAGACGGAGTTTCAGGAAACGCTTCTTAAAGAGACACACCCAATTTGAAGGCATTGGGTTACAAAATAAAAATTATTTTAAGTTATGTTTGATGCATTTTAATAACAATTGAAGGTAACATAGTTACTGGATCTATAAAATGATTTTGTGTGCTTGGAAAATATGGAACACTGCCCCTTCAATTAAAATTTAACGGAAGTGCAAAAATATTCATATTTATTTGTGTTTTGCCATTTTTAAGCCTCTACAGGATGTTTGAGTTTTGTCAACAATAGATAAGAAACCTGTTTAGCTTTTTTTTTACACAAAAACCTGGCGGGCCGCCTGGTAGGCCTGGTTCTGACCCAGGACTGGTTCTGACCCGGGTCTGGTTCTGACCCAAGTCTGGTTCTGACCCAAGTCTGGTTCTGACCCAAGTCTGGTTCTGACCCAGGTCTGGTTCTGACCCAGGCCTGGTTCTGACCCAGGACTGGTTCTGACCCGGGTCTGGTTCTGACCCAAGTCTGGTTCTGACCCAAGTCTGGTTCTGACCCAGGTCTGGTTCTGACCCAGGCCTGGTTCTGACCCAAGTCTGGTTCTGACCCAAGTCTGGTTCTGACCCAGGTCTGGTTCTGACCCAGGCCTGGTTCTGACCCAGGTCTGGTTCTGACCCGGGTCTGGTTCTGACCCAGGCCTGGTTCTGACACAGGTCTGGTTCTGACCCAAGTCTGGTTCTGACCCAAGTCTGGTTCTGACCCAGGTCTGGTTCTGACCCAGGCCTGGTTCTGACCCAAGTCTGGTTCTGACCCAGGTCTGGTTCTGACCCAGGCCTGGTTCTGACCCAGGCCTGGTTCTGACCCGGGTCTGGTTCTGACCCGGGTCTGGTTCTGACCCAAGTCTGGTTCTGACCCGGCGCTGACCCAGGCCTGGTTCTGACCCGGGTCTGGTTCTGACACAGGTCTGGTTCTGACCCAAGTCTGGTTCTGACCCGGCGCTGACCCAGGCCTGGTTCTGACCCGGGTCTGGTTCTGACACAGGTCTGGTTCTGACCCAAGTCTGGTTCTGACCCGGCGCTGACCCAGGCCTGGTTCTGACCCGGGTCTGGTTCTGACACAGGTCTGGTTCTGACCCAAGTCTGGTTCTGACCCGGCGCTGACCCAGGCCTGGTTCTGACCGGCGCTGACCCAGGCCTGGTTCTGACCCAGGACTGGTTCTGACCCAGGCCTGGTTCTGACCCAGGCCTGGTTCTGACCCGGCGCTGACCCAGGTCTGGTTCTGACCCAGGTCTGGTTCTGACCCAGGCCTGGTTCTGACCCAGGTGTGGTTCTGACCCAGGTCTGGTTCTGACCCAGGTCTGGTTCTGACCCAGGCCTGGTTCTGACCCAGGTGTGGTTCTGACCCAGGTCTGGTTCTGACCCAGGTCTGGTTCTGACCCGGGTCTGGTTCTGACCCAGGCCTGGTTCTGACCCAGTCCTCTTGGTCGCAGGCATCCGCATGGGCAGCCTGGGCCTGTTCCTGCAGTGTTCCACATCCACCATGTTTTCTCTGGCGATGAGTCGCCTGCTGCGGCGCTTCGGCCCGCGCTGCGTCTACCTGGGCAGCCTGGTGAGCTTCACGCTGTCCGCCCTGGGCATCTGCCTGTCCGGCAGCGTCATCATGGTGACGGCCATGACGGCGCTCACAGGCTTCGCCTACGCCACGCTGCAGACCGTCCCGTACACGCTGACCTGCCACTACCACAAGCAGAAGGAGGTACGTGTTGGCGCCCCCCAGTGGTGAGGACGAGTTGTTGGAGCCCCCAGTGCCGACCAATCGGCGGCGCTAACCGCTCTGTCGCTGCGTCTCGTCGCAGGTCTTCTTGTTTCCGGGAAAAACCAGAACCTCGCACAGCAACAGCGTGGCGGTGGGGCGGGACGCCATCTACCCGACCCCCGCAGAGGAGGAGGGAGGGGTCCACAAACCGCCTCTCTACAGGCACGACGGGTTTGAACACTTTCCCCTCCACCACGGCGAGGAAGGCGGCCAGGCGGGAGACCCGGCGGGCGGCCAGGCGGGCGGCGAGCGGCGCGGCATTGGGCTGGACTTTGCCATCTTGGACAGCACCTTCCTGCTGTCGCAGGTCATCCCCACGCTCTTTATGGGCGTCGTCGTTCAGCTGGCCGGATCCGTCACCGCCTACATCGCTAGCTCCGCCTTCTTTGGCGCCGTCGCCATCTACCTGTCCACCAGAATCGTCTTCGACCAGAAGGACCTCTGGAGCTGAGGGAGTCAGGTCCTGCATTACCCACAATGCCTTAGTGGTATCCTCAGGTAGAACAGGCAGCAATACGACCCACTTGAATAATCGGAACCATCCCCGGGTTCCATCCGGACCTTTCAGAACCAGGTCTGGCTGGAGTTCCAGGCGCGGCGTTGGTGTTTCTGGCGTTTGGCCTACTTCCTGCTGCCAGGCGGCTCTGGACTGGAGAGATTTCTCATCTCCTCATCATTTCTCATCTCCAGGAAAGTGGAGCTCTGGGTCAGACGAGCCTCTCCTGATGTGGAACCAGTTCAGACTGGTCCAGAGTATTGGGAGCACACACTGACCTCTACACTGCCGTGGAGACGCTTTGCATCACTGCATGTCCAGATGATGATGATGATGATGATGATGATGATGATGATGATGATGATGATGATGATGCAGAGCAGTGCCTGGATACCGTCTCCATAGCAACCATCCCTGAAAAGACCAAAAATGGAGGGAGAGCCCAGATGGACGTGTGTGTGTGTGTGTGTGTCTCTGTGTGTGTGTGTGTGTGTGTGTGTGTCTGTGTGTCTGTGTGTGTGTGTGTGTGTGTGTGTCTGTGTGTGTGTGTGTGTGTGTGTGTGTGTGTGTGTGTGTGTGTGTGTGTGTGTGTGTGTCTGTGTGTCTGTGTGTGTGTGTGTGTGTCTGTGTGTCTGTGTGTGTGTGTGTGTGTGTGTGTGTCTGTGTGTGTGTGTGTGTGTGTGTGGTGTGTGTGTGTGTGTGTGTGTGTCTGTGTGTCTGTGTGTGTGTGTGTGTGTGTGTGTGTCTGTGTGTCTGTGTGTGTGTGTGTGTGTGTGTGTGTGTCTGTGTGTGTGTGTGTGTGTGTGTGTGTGTGTGTGTGTGTGTGTGTGTTGTGTGTGTGTGTGGTGTCTGTGTGTGTGTGTGTGTGTGTCTGTGTGTGTGTGTGTGTGTGTGTGTGTGTGTGTGTCTGTGTGTGTGTGTGTGTGTGTGTGTGTGTGTGTGTGTGTGTGTGTGTGTGTGTGTGTCTCTGTGTGTGTCTGTGTGTGTGTGTGTGTCTGTGTGTCTGTGTGTGTGTGTGGTAAGAAGCCCCCCCATTAGCGCCACCAGGAGGCTGAAGAAGTGCCTGATCTTTATTAAACATGTAAATATGGATTTATTTATTCTGCTGACTTCTGGGATTAAAGCTTTTCTGTGAAAGATAAATTATTTATATAGAAAACAACTTTAAAGCTAATTTATTTTAATCACTTTTATTATCTGTCATGTTTGGGCTTTTTACCTCTGAATGATGGAAACCAAATATCCTGTTTGAAACTGAAGTGCCAACTGTCTGGAAACCAAATCTGATATTTTAATCTGAATTCATTTTGCTCCTCTTTACACTCTGTAGCAGCTGAAGCAGTGGAGAAATATGCAGTTACCAAACAGATTTTATACAGAATAATAAAACGTTTATCATCCACTCATATCTCCTGTCTTTGAACATCATTTAAGATAAAATAATATAAAAGTTGCTCTTTCACAAAAATCCAGATTTCAGTCCCTTTGAAAACATCAAATTAATAGAAATAATTTTCGTGTTCTGTTATTCCGTCACATTCCTGCTGTTGAAGTGCTGCTCTGAGATTCCTGAACCAAATATTTCTCTATTTAATGGTTTTTTGTTTTATCAACACAAAATTCTGGAAAATTTTGAAAATTACAATTCCCACCCCTAACTGCTACAGCATCAATCAATCAATCAATCAATCAATCGCTTCTAAATATGACCTGACATGGACAGCGCACAGCAGGACTGGCAGGAAATTAAAAAAAAAGGTCTTCAGTGGCGCGTTGAGCAAAAATCCTTCCAGAACAACCTGAAGTCTGTTGATGTCGTCAGTCGGGATCCATCGTCCTGGAACATTTGCTGCTGAAATGAAGAGAAGTTAACCTGCCGACTCAAACCGCAGCAGGAGAATCATCACTAAAATAGTGAATTCAGGTGGGATGATGCTGCGACCAGCAGGTGAGTCGGTTTCATTTCACATCCGTCTGGGTTTTTATCCCCGCAGAGTAAAAGTTGAATGATCATCCGCTTGGTGTGTGATGAGACCTGGATTAACTGAATGGTTATAAAACTGCAAAGAAATGAAACGCCACAGAATATCTCAGTATTATCTAAAAAATGACACATTTTGTCAGTCAAAATGATGATCAACTCCACCCAAAAATATGGTGACAATATGAGAAACTTTGCCTGCAGCCCATATGTGACAATCATGTCCTGATTGCCACATATTTCTCCATATGAGATCTTTAAGTAAATTTACTGGCCTTTATATACATGGCATTTTCTCCACCTTTAATCCTCTACATTTAGTTTGCAGCGTTCCTCTATCTGATGTCTCCAGATTCAAGACTTTGTTCCGTCCTTGCTTCCCCATTTTATAAAATGTTGGAAAAAGTTGGAATAGCGTCTCATCACTTAGTGAAGCTCAATGAGATCAGAGCACAATGCTCAGAAGAACCTGGAATCCGTTGTGTGGCTGCAACCAGGACCGGACCGAACCGAACCGGACCGGGCCGGTGGATGATTAAAATCCAGCTACTAAATTAGTTAACTTTTATTTCAATAATCAATTAATTGTTTCAGTCCTAATTAAATTCTGGAAATAACGGAAAATTGTGGACCTAATTAAACTGGGAAGAAGATGATCTGAGCGCTTCATGTGGGAATGGCGCCGTCTGGCGGAGAGGTGGAGGAAGTGCGGCAGGTGCTGCAGGAACGGAATGCGGGCCGATCAGGTTCTCCTCCTGGTTCTGCTGCTGCTTTTCCTCCTGAGCTGAGAAATGTCTGGATGAACACTGGATCTGATTGGACCGCTCTGGTTCCGGCTGCCTTGGCCCCCACCCTGCCACTCCACCCCTCCCCCAACACCACCTGACCTCTCCGGCGCACCGGACGCGTCGATTCATGCAGAAAACTTTTATTTTATTTCATTTCTCCAGGGAATCGCTGCGTGCTGAGGACCACCAGCCGTCATTGCTCTCCGGTGACAGCCGGCCTGTTTTTACTCCTCCAGTCTAAATAAGGAAGCGACCCCACGGACACATGACCGCCGCGCGGCCCAATTTGGGAGCCGCTGCGCCCCACCACCACCCAGGCCGCTGACCGCCGCCAATCTGGCGCAGACTGCCGCCATGTCAGCCCGGGATGCGGGAGCCGGGCCCGGGTAGAACCAGAACCAGGGCTGCTCGGTGACTCGATAGGCGGCCGGGAGGATCTGTGGAACCAGAACCGAGCCGCAGACCGTCTGAGCGAGCGAGAGAGAGGAGAGAGAGAGCGGGGCGCAGAGGAGCTGCGAACCATGGTCATCACCAGCGGCGGCAGCAGCAGCATCTCCATCTGCTCCAGCGCGGCTTGCGCCGTCTCCTCTCCTCCCGACCCCCGGGGCTCCGGAGGCCCGCTCCGCCGCCCGCCAGCCAGCCGCCGCCGCCATGCCGGAGCAGCGACAAGCGGCGCGCTATTTTTAGGCTCATTAATTTGGAGCACGTGTCCCCGAGGCAAACCGGATGCCCGCTGCGCAAAGGTTCCTCGGTAGAATGTCCTGCTGGACGCGGACAGCGGCGCTGCTTCTGGGCGTCCTGCTGGTAGCCGCGGCGGGGGCGCCAGCGCCGGGCACGGCTCCGCTGGACCGGCGCTGGGAGACGCTGTTCTCCCGCTCCGTGCTGCGGGTCTCCGGGGAGAAACCGGAGCTCAGTGGGAGACTGACTACCTGCTGGGCATCCAGCGGGTGCGGAGGCTCTACTGCAACGTGGGGATCGGGTTCCACCTGCAGGTCCTCCCCGACGGCGGCATCAGCGGGGCGCACAGCGAGGACCCGTACAGTGAGTTCCTCCTCCGGCTGACGCAGGAAGGCAGGCTGGAGCGGCGCGGTGCGGCGCGGGCTGCCCCCTCTGCAGACCTCTGCTCTTCACTGGGAGAATTACATTTCTTCCGAATATGATGCTATTGAAAACAAGCATCATCAGCCCATCTTCATCCTCCTCCTCTTCCTCAGCCATGTCATGAGTGTATGGTCGCTTTTGGACCCAACTTTTTCTTACGCAGCCATGGCGCGCGCCCCCATTCATCGCAGTGCATGCGCTGATGCATCTGCTGCAGTTCCTGCCAGGATGCCGCGCAGCATGCGGAACAAAGCCCCGCATGCTGCGCGGCATCCTGCGGGGTTCCCGGCGTGTCCTCCGTGTCCGCTCTAACACGCTCTCTGTCCCGCTGCAGGTCTGATCCAAATCTCCACGGTGGAGCGCGGCGTGGTGAGCCTGTTCGGGCTGCACAGCGAACGCTTCGTGGCCATGAACAGGCGCGGCAGGCTGTACGCGACGGTAGGTGAACCCGCAGCTCCGCCAGTTCAGAAAGGTCTATTTAAAGGCCGCTGATGAGGCTAGCAGGTGCACCGTGGGAATCCCCCTGAGGCCCGTTAAAGCCACGCGATAATTTCACAGGGAACTGCCCGTTCTGGGCCCGCGGAGCCGGGTGGGCGGTACACCTGCACAAGTCTTCACGCTGGATCGCATTTCACTGAGCAGAACAGAAACATCCTGCATGCGATCTGAAAAGTGTGGTGGGAGTTTATCTTCAGCCCTCCTCACACTGATGGAGCAGTTCCGGTTCTGGTTCCGATTCTGTAGAGGTCAGGTAGGAGGTTCTGGTTCTAGGTCAGTTTCGAGCAGAGTTCGGTTCAGGGCAGAAAACGTGAGCGCAGTTTGAAAAAAGGGACACGTGACGTCACATGAGGCCGATGTGACGTATGAGTGGAGCGCCATTGATGAGGGAATATTATGAATATAAAGATGATCGTTGATATTGATATGATGATGGTGCCGATCACAAGTTTCCATGTGATAATATAATAAAAGGATTTTGACAATAACAGTAACGGCCCAGATGGGTCCATTCGTTATGAAACAGAAGAAGAAGAAAAGTTGCTCAGTTTGGATGCAGGAACCAGGCGGGTCAAACACGACATGGTGGTGGCAGCATCAGGCTGTGAGAGGGTGAATGGAGCGAAATCAGGACAAACCTGGAAGAAAATCTGCAGAAGAACTGAGACTGGGGTCAAAGTTCAGCTTCCAGCAGGAGGACCAGAGCAGACAGATCAGAGCTGATTGTAGGGTTAGAGTGGCCTAGTCAAAGTCCAGGTCTGACTCTACCAGAGAATCTGCAAAAAGTTGTGAAAATGGACAAATCCAGAGGAGTCTGAATATAAATACACACCACACTTTTCAGACAGGTTTGGTATGAAACACCATAAATCAGTTTTTTGGGGATTTGGGGTGAAAACAAATCAGAGGTTTCAGTTTATTAGCAATAATAATATTATTAGTGAGGATGGTGGATGTGTCCAGAGGACAGACAGGAATGTCCCGGGTGTGTGAGAATGCAACTGCTTATCTGACTCTGAGTGATGAAGCGTCAGCTTGTGAGCAGCCTGAGCATCTGATGAGTGATTGGACTAGGCCACATGCTCGCTCAGTGATGCAGAGGATTTCTGCTCTTTCTCTGTGACACATCAGTGAGACGGAGAGGAAATGAAGCACATTTATTTCTTGTTATGGCCATTAAACCAGACGGTTTGGAGGTGAAACTGAAAGTTCAAGTTTCATTTGATGTTTAATGGAGATGATAAAGAAAAGTGATGTAGTTACTCAGAAAAAACAGTCT